AAAAAGAAATCATCCTCCCAGAGATGCTGGCCACGCCATAATCCCTTCTCCTCCATTCCCCTCTCAGGATTTTGAGCATGCATGCACACATGAGTTTTAAGCATCCAGGTCCAGGACTCAAGCTGTGGTGGTCCAGCACCTTAATCACTATGCCACCTGCTGGCCCCATACAGAGTGAACGTTTTCAGGCTGTTGTTTGCTGTTTTACAAAACCAGGATGACCTGAAACAAGTCAGGACTCTCTTTGCTGAGAATGAACAGACTCTGGTACAGTCCACTGGCTAAGTAAAGATGGGTAGATGCATGCAGCTTCAGAGCTAGCGGCGTGGACCCTGGACTCCACTCCTTACTTTACGAGCCAGTAGCCAGAGGTGCAAAGAGGTTAGCAACTTCCCTGCGATGGTCAAAGATGGTCTGGACCAATTATAAGGCCAGCTGAGCTGGAATAATGGAAGGCTGTTGCTTTTGCCAGTTGAGCATGCGAGTCCCCCTTTTTGAGTAGCAAAGTACCTCTCCTCTTACCCATACCCATACCCTTTCCAGGAGGGGCTGACCTGTCTCCCATGTGGTTTGTAGGATTAAGTCTCTATCCCCCAGACACAAGGAAGTGTCCTCCCCTCCTCTGCCATGGAAACAAACCCCAGGACTTTGAACTGAAACTTTTAGGAAAGAGGGGATTTCTCTCCATTGAGTTTGCCAACCTGGTTGGAGGAGTGCTGGGGGTACTGGATAAAGAGGGTCTGCTGGAGAACAGAGCAAACAGAGAAGTCAAACAAGACACTGAGGACCTTGGGGACTTCCGCTGAGCCCCAGACCCAACTGTACCTCAGTCTTACAGAGCTCTGGACTCTTGTTGCTCGTGACAGTGAACGTCCACCCACATCAACCCATTGAATAACTAAATTCTTTTAATTTACTGGACTGTACCTGAAGTCTTACAGAGCTCTGGACTCTTTTGTTGCTCGTGACAGTGAACGTCCACCCACATCAACCCATTGAATAACTAAATTCTTTTAATTTACTGGATTTTCTGAAGACAACCCAAGTTTGGTTTTTGTTGACTTCAGTGGCTAGCATTCTAATCGGTGTAAGACTATTACATCTTGGTAATAGTCTTGGTAATTGTCCTCAGGAGGAGCTGGTGACTCCTCCTGACAGGAGGTGGCATTGACAGCTCAGGTAGAATGATCCATCTCAGAAGCATCTCCATGTAGACAGTCAAAACCAGTAATGGACTACAACGCGGATATGGAAGGAAAATTCATAGCAATGTACACAGTTCTTCCCAATCTCAGGTCAACGGTCACTAATGGATCTTGGTGCTCCTTCCCAGGGAGCCTCACCATCCTCCCAAGATGGCGCAGCAGGTGTGGGTGTTGTGCAGTGGTCCAGCTTAGCTGACCATGCAGTGATGCTCATGGTAAACCCCGTGCAGGAACATGGTACCCTTACCCATACTGGCTGATCACACGGGGGCCCTGTAACTGCTCTAAGCAACCAAGCTGTGGACAGTGAAGAAAGCAAACACGTACATCTCCCATGAGGGCCCGGTTGCTATACTTTTGAGAGTATTTCACTTCTTCCTAATGACAAATATGAAGAATCTTGCAGTTTTTTACCAAGACAGGGTGTGAGACGATACAGGAGCACACATCATACCTGAACGTTGCCAGGAAAAAGTCTTTTATCTCATTCCCTAGCCCAGACAGCCAGGCTGAGGGTGAGGGGGCAGTGGGGATAAAGAGCCTCTGTAACCACTGTCACGGGAAGGTCTGGAGTACATGATGGGGGACATTAACTGGTCACCACTGCCTCGATGCCCTGCATTGAAGAGACTCCAGGACTGCATTTCCCAGAACTTCCCCCCAGGAATGGCACCAGCTTAGAGCTGGCCAGTGAGAGCCTCCTAGACTCAGAAGGCAGCAAAGAGCTAGAGGCCATGCTACCCTGGAGGCAGTTGCGGGCCGACGTGTGGGCACAAGTGAGGTTGGCAGCCATTTCCTAGTGAGTGCTAGAGAACAGGTGCATGGATGCTTCCTGGGCCTCCTCCTCCAACATAGTAGTGGTTGTAAAAGCTTCTGGTTCCTTGAACTCAGCCCTTAATACTCAGTATTCATAGGGTAGCTTTTGTTCCTAGGAACCCATCCTGAGTGATAGCATCAGGACCTCCGATTTTCATGAGGTATGGCTAGAGTAAAGATTTCCTTTGCATGCTGCTAAGCCTCTGCTATCCTCACACTGTAAACCAGGCCTATACCCAGGGTACCAGGCCACTGTGCTGTGTGTGTGCGTGTGTGTGTGTGTGTTAGGGTACCAGGCCACTGTGCTGTGTGTGTGTGTGTGTACATATATGTCACCCAGGATGCTCTGGATCTGAGCCGACATCCCATAGACACAACGTGACAGGTTCTCTCGCAGGTTTTGTAGAGAAGGCCTCCGTGACTCCTACAAAGTCCTACCCGGCATTGGTATCCCATCGGAAGCCCTGGGACTCCTTTCTCCCTGCCTGGCAAGTCCTAGCTACAGCCTCTCATGTGCCTTGTTTTCCTCTCAGGTTTCTATTAGCACGGCCTGGAAGATTACTCCACTCTCGTTCTCTTCCTTAGCTTAGGCAGCTTAGGATATGGGTGGGTTGGGACCAGCAGTTAGCATAATGGCTGTGTCGCTGGACTCCCATGTAGTCGACTGCGGTTCAAGTTCCAGGCCCGGTGGCTTAAACTCATGCCGGCCGTGTGTGCGTGCGTGCCCAAGATCCTGAGAGGAGAATGGAGGAGAAGGGATTGTGGTGTGGTCATCCCCCCCGGGGAGGGGTGATTTCTCACTTTCTGTCTCTCTGTCTCTCTCTGTCTTTCTGGGGAGCGTACACGCCCTATAGCAAAAACCTCTAAAAAAAAGAAAAAAAAAAAAAGAAAGAAAGAAAGAAAGGAAGGAAGAAAGAAAAAAAGAAAGAAAGAAAGAAGCGTGGGCTAAAGGTTAGAACCCAGTGCTTCCCCTTACCAGCTGTGGAAGAGATTAGATAAGCTACTGCACTTCCCTCTGCTCAACCTTAAAGGCGGTGACAGCCAAGTTAGACCAAGCACAGTGTCCAGCACACAGTAAGAGCTCAGCGATCGCTAGCCTGGGTATGAGTGTTTTCCTAGAATGGAAGATTACTTTCCTCGTGGGGTTCCAGAAAAAGATACATATGGACTCTTCAGCCAGCCAGAATTGGCAATTTTCATTCCCGGCCCCAGTGACATGTTCTCAGATCCTCTAAGTCCCTCAGAATTCGCTCTCTCTCACCAACTGCTTCTGCAACAAAGCCTCTCAATCCTTCTTGGATTGTCGCTGCTTAGAGGAGTCGACAGCAAAGAGCAGCGATTCTTGCCTAGGGCTCTCCAGGTTACTCTATCATCTTAAACCATTTTTATCAACACAGTATTACAATTACAGATAAGGATCATTTACACTGCAGCTCTTCAGAGTAATCTTGAGGACTAAATGGTCCCTGGAATTGTTTTATAAACCACATCTACTTTCAAATACCTTTTATGTCTTCCTGTTTTTCAGTATTTAAGAAAGGATTAGATTCTTTCTACCCAGTGGAAAGGAAGGCAAATGATGTGTTTGTTTGTTTGGTAAGATTTTTGCTATAGGGCATGTGTGCTTGCCAGAAAGACTGAGACCAAGAGAGAAAAAGTGAGAAATCACCTCCCTCTCCCAGGGGGTATGACCACGCCTCAATCCCTTCTCCCCTGTTCTCTTCTTGGGATTTGGGGCACGCACAGGCACCCGGTGTGAATTTCAAGCCACAGAGTCCAGGACTTGAACTACGGTCAGCCATGTGAGAGTCCAGCACAGTAACTACTACGCCACCTGCAGGCCCCAATGATTTGCTTTTTTAATGCTGGGTAAAAACACTTGCTGCGTCCTAGAGGGGAGCCAATCCCAATGACGGTATGTGCTACCTTGCCATTATCTGGCATTCTGGACCATGGCACGGTGCAAGTGAACCTGCTTTTCTGCTTGGTTAAGTCAAACTTAAAATTTTCTCATCCACTGGAAGGGCTATATCTAAGAGGCATCATCTTCTTTTTTGCTATTCACAGAATAGCAGAAATATCCTCAGAAATATCCTCGTATGACTTCCACCTTTCACTTCCTTCCCCTGTCTAAACTGACTTCATCCAACAAATACTGACGGAGCATTTTCTGCGTCAGGGATGTTCCCTGGGGTTAAAACCTCTTAAGGCACACAGATATGTCACCAATGGCTGTGGTAAGTGGTTTGAAAGGATAAAAGGGGCACTCAACATAGTCCTGGGGTCACGAGGAATGACTTCATCTGCAGCCTTGGGGTGGGGGGTAAACATTAACAGACACACGGAGCCCAGGGCCCTTCGCTGGGAGTTTGTAGAACTGAGAGGCCGCCACCACAGGAACATCAATGCAGCAGGTTTTTATTTCTTTAAAAGCTCCCATTCCTTTTTTTTCCCTAAGATTTTTGCTATAGGGTGCATGCACTCATTGGAGAGAGACATGGAAAGACACACAGAGAGAGAGGAAAACATCACCTCCCCAGGGGGGATGCCCATGCAGCCATCCCTTCTCCATTCCCCTCCCAGGATTCTGAGCACACATGCACTTGGCATGATTGTCAAGGCGCCACATCTGACACTTGACCTGTGGTCGGCCATGTGGGGTCCAGCACTTTAACCACCATGCCAACCACAGACCCCTGGAGGTTCCCATTTGTATCAATGGCACTGTAGGATCGAGGGGATGGATTAAGAAGGCAGGGTAGAAGTTTTCCTGCTGTTCAAAAAGCAGTGGGTGAGTGGGGAGGGTGAAGGACCGTGGTGAGGAGCAGGAGCTGGTATAGGGGTCAGGCCCCTCACTCATTCCAACAGGGAGCAACACTCGCCACCCTAATAGCACACCAGTGTTACCCCGCTAGGCTGCAATGAATCCTGACTGCCAGCTAAAGTCACCTGTCCACGTTCTGTGGACCCTGCCCGTTCCCGTCTCATTCCTCACATCCTCCTCCTGCCACAGGACACCTCTAATCTTAAGAAAACGGCAGAGTGACTCTGGACACCTAATGGAATATTGCTAGGAAACCATTTGACACCCAGACTTGGTGTGGGGTAGGTGGCGACTACTTGAGATTTCCCTGAGGTGAGCTAAGCATCGGTGACACTAACATTTGGAGATGTGAAGTAACTTGCCCCACATGAGAGTGCTAATCACTGGGAGACACTGCAGTGGACATGCATTCTCTTCAAAGATCTCCTGGAGTGGATTCTAGGGTTCCTTGGTTCTCTGTCACTATCTACCTAGAAGACATTACTCATGCCCTGTGGACATCAAGAGAGATACCGTATGAGCTGGGGATAGGAGAGAAGGGTCAAAATAGATGACCCTTGGGATAACTCCCCCCCACCACCACTTTCAAGGCCAAGACTCAACAGAATAACATGTAGAAAGCCAACTCCACCAATAATTCTTTTATTTTTTAGAGAGAGAGGCTATTGTTATCGGGTATGCATGCTTGCCAGAGAGACCGAGAGAGACAGAATGCAAGGAATCACCCCCAGAGGGATGGCCACACCATAATCTTTTCTCGTCCATTCTCCCCTTGGGATTTTGGGCATGCACGCACATGCATCTGGAGTGAGTTTTAAGCCGCTGGGTCTGGGACTTGAACTGCAGTCACCTACGTGAGAGTCTAGTGATGTAACCATTATGCCATCTGCTGGTTTGGACCCACTGACAATTTTAATCTCTGCCATGGACAGGCAAGACGGTGCAGAACTGGCAGTTCATACTTTCTGCTGTACACACTGCAAACATCATGTTAGGTATTCCTGATCAATGCAGCTGTCCAAAGGAGGCAGGTGAAGGCTGACTGGCAAAAAGACGACTTGCATGCTGACTCATGAGAATCCCAAGTTGGGATTCTCTCAAGTGGTGACAGGCAACCACCCCTCACCCCCTACCCCTGCCACCCCAGCAAGTCCTAGTGTTACTGAGATTTTCTTTATTCCCCA